AGTATTGACCGTGTTGACGCACAAGCACAAACAGTACCCTGCTAGTTTAAACATGTACAAGCTTCCTGGCGATAAAACACTGAGCAGCAGAACAAAACAGGTAACGATGTAACGAGAATGAACTTTTGGATGTTTCCGAATACTATCACGTTGCAAGGGTGCGGAGTGGTGACAGCGATTGCGCATCCGGACCTGTACAGCTAAACATGGAAGGGATCTATGCATTTGGTTACTATGAAATGGGGCTTTACACTAGGTCACGCCCTCGCGTTCCCATCTAGCATTTAAGCGCTATTGCATTTAAAGAACGCCATCACATTGTGTAACATTTCTGCTATGCACGACCTCAGAAGAGGGTCTTGGTACGACTCCCCTCCCTACCAAATAAGATGATATCGAACGGGATACTCGCATTCTGAACTACCGCGCGCATTTAGAAATTGCGCGCGAACGTTTGAAACGCGTTCGGCCATTGCTCTGGAGCACTTGAACATTCATTACTTCATTGACGGTGGAGCTCTAAAGAGATGAAAGGGTTCGGTATTGATTAGCTTTTCTCAAGCCATCCTGAACATATTCTTTTTTGCAATACAATATGCAATAATAGGTTTTTATGCTTTGAACAACTATAACCCTCTCCATATGTGACCACTTGTGAAGATAAGGGCACTGCCGGGACCTGAAAGACAGAAGAAATTAAATGCCAAACGAATGTCTTCGGACAACTGGCGAGCGGTCGCGTCGCGGTCATTGCATGGGTCGCGTTGAATCTGGCGCGAGGGAGGAGATTTCACATGAAAATTGGAAGTTGAAACATGCAGTGTTTGATATATTGGAAGGTGAATGAGTAGTTCCACATATGTTCCTTTCTCTTTCTCCGTTCGCAGACCGTTCATGGAGTCACTTAGACATGAGCTACAATCATAGACACACTCACGTAGCTATTCAATAAGAAGCGTACACGGATTCTAAAGCCCCTGTCGTACGGAACCTTATGTCGTTTTTTTTCTGAGTTTTTAGAATCTCAACTTTGAGTGTGATCGCAATTTTCTTTGGATTCGAGGATAAACTGAGCGTTACGGTTAACAACGTGGATAAAGAAGTGTCTGTGGTAGGAACTTCTGAGATTCCAGAAAACTAGAAGGAAGTCCTGTAAAATCCCCCAATTTGAAGTATGTTTCAGGGTTTCATAGCTCTTGATTGTATCATTTCCTACAAATCAAATGATGTTCTCGCTCCTACGAATGTCTCGTGTATCGTGAACCTAATCGCGAGGATAACGCTTCCCAGCGCAATGACCGCGACGCGACCACTCTCCCGCTGTCCCAAATTGTTCGTTTGGCATTCAAGTTCTTCTCTGAAAGACTCCCTATCTTCAAGATTTTATGATGCCCGGCGTTTGGCTTCCGGCGCAGTGCCATTTCCAGTTTGCTTGAAGACTTTGAATTGTTTACACGACCCATATTAGAAAATAATTAATTCGGCGACAATTGATATCAACTATGTATTACGCCATACAACCCACTCCCACGCGGAGATGTTGGAACAGTGCAGCCTTTAGATAAGCCCTCTTCGTGTAATAGATGTGCCCTCACGGTTCGGAAAGATACGAGTGTATACTGTTTCTGTTCATTAATTAATGACGTTGTTGTGGACGGTTACCGTACTGCTTATCACGGATCGGCCCCACATCTGAGCTTGTTCTTCCCTCTGTCTCCAGCTTTCCTTCAGTTTTTTCACAACAAGGAGCTCGAATGGGTTCTTTATCATTCAAGGCTTGTACGACATCCGAGCTCACCGTACCTCTGAATGAAACCCCGCACTTACGACGTACCTTCCGTTTGCGATGAAATGTGATTCCCCCATCCCCCTTTTTCAAGTCACACTACGATTGCGTGCGCTGCTCGCAAAAGTGGCGCGTTATAGACTCTCATGGCTGAACGCTGCCGAAGCTGCGGATGGCTGTGATGACAGGACGACGTCATGAATTTTTTAGCGGTTTTGAAGCCACTGATCGTAGAGATTGAATACGAGTAAGGCCTTTGGCTGCACACAATGTTGAAGCAAACAAATAGCCAATTCCAACTATGTCATAAGCCAATGTTCGGCAAAAATTGCAGATACCTTATGTACACGTAGTTAGGAATCTCGTCTTCATCCGTACTCCTTTGGGTGGACTTTAGCGAATCACTTTGTGTGGCATTCTGAAAAACGAACTATCTTAATTCCATATGCGTTCAAGACTGCTAAAAAATTCATTGTGACTGCATGTAGAAGTCACCGTCTGTACTCGTGCTGGATTGTCCATTGGCTCTGAATTCGTTGCTTTCGACAGCAATGGTTTGGTGGTTTCGGTTCTGGAAACACTTGTTCACTGTGCATTGCCACCAATTCCTAGCAATTTGCTCGTTCGATTGTAGGTCATTAAATGAATTCCGTCGATCACGATTACAGAATGGCAACCGTTTTCTGTGACATACACCATAACTCATTGCAAGGGTGCGACCTTCTGTGCCTGAAAAGGAGCCACTTTCTAACGAGGCTCGGGGGTATCATGTTCTGACGAGCAATCCACGTCATATCGTCCCGGTAAGAGGGTGCAGACTTTACGTGAGAAAGCGGCATATTCCAAGACCATGGTTCATTAATTTGAATAACTCTTGTGGATAACTTGTGAACAGAAAACTTCAAATGGGTACATCTTCAGAAGCCACTTGCGAGAAGCGAAGGAAGCCAGCGAGCGGCTGAGCAAGGTAACCCCTTAACGACAGAAATTGCTGGTGACACACATGAGGACTTCTTATGAGCTCTACAGCTTATTGTAAAAAATGAGCTAGACTAGATGATACTTCGTTCATGGTTATCCATGTCCGACTTTCTATGAATCTTGGCATCCTTCTGGTTCCGACTATAGCACTTCTGATGTAGTGGTATAGACGGAAACAAAATTACATCATTTCGGCTTACGTTCCATCTTTATCGCCGCCGTCAGAGCTTGGAAAGTCAAAGATCGATGTGGACCGCACCCGAATATCATTTTTATGCTGCAGATCAGTATGTGCTAGACTAAAGGAAACTTGCCCTAGATCACGATCACAGTCTGACTAAAATAAAACGCAAGCATATTTCAGCTTGACTAGCCCCTGGACCTGAAGCCGATACAGCAAACAGGGCTAGCTCGTCGTGATGGCATGGTATTTGCTTTTTCGCTTCCTTGTTGGACCTGGGAAATTACTCAGGTAGTCATCGTGTACAGTGCCATGTCACTCACGGGGAGTCATTTCAGCGATGGTCTCAACCAAAGCCTGCCGGAGATTTGAGGTGAGTCATAGTGTGATTGTGGCCTATGGCAATTTCTGGACTCCTTCAGTAAAGAACGAAGTGCTCTGAAGTTTGAAATGATATATGGGAGTATTGACACTGATCTCTGGCTTTCCATGCTCTGATAAAGGCGATGACGTCAGTACCTGTGCCGAATAAAATTTTTGTGACATCTCGGTTCCTACCATAGCAGTACATCAGAGATGAGCCGAACAAGTTAGGAATGGAGAATTGTTGCCAGCTTTACCTAGGACAGCGATCAGCACCATCCTGACCGTTCTCAGACTTTTCCGACTCGGAAGCTGCCGCATCCTGGAAAAAATGCTTCGAACAAAAGACAAAAGGATGGACAGGATGAACAAGAGGTAAGTTCCAGGCGTTGAACAAGTTTGGTTCTGCGATGTTCTGGGTAGCTCAACTCGGTTTTGAGATTCACAGTCATGTGGCAATCGGTAGGTGATTTGGCCTGCCCAAGTCACTTACTCTTTCACTTCTAAGGAGAAGCCGAAATAGAAGGCCTAGTTGGTTCAACGGGAATCTAGCCCATATCTTTTTACTAACCTTACGCGTGGTACGTGAGGCTACACCAAATTCGCCCATAAAAGCCAAATAGCCACAAAAAGTGAAGAAAACAGAAAGATAAGTTTTCCCACCGAAGTAGCGTCACCTTTGGGCGTATTTTGAGATGACTGCGACAAATGTGTTGCCGCTGTGCCCTTCGCAGAAAGTGCCGGAGATTCACTGGATTCCTTCCTAAATAACTATATATTCGCTTCGTTTTGGTGCCACCTCCAAACCCTCGTAATTTTGAGAGCGTTTATAAGGAATAGTGATTATAATTCTACTAGAGTATACTTAGCGAATTATATATAGTAGGATAGTGGGATGAGTTCATTTTCTAGTGCTATCAGAGAAGTGATGGCTAAAGGAAAAGTTTGCACACTGAGCCTTCAATACTTGGCAGTATAGTGGTAAGAGATGTAATGAGAATGGTCCCATCCCTTTTTATCAATTGATAAGATTGCCTGTCACCTGTCATCAATTTCCTATCACTAAAACTATATAAGTTGTTAGTGCAAAGGCTCCAGCACTTTGACTGAACAGCGCCAATCAGCTGTTTACCACCTCCTGTCACCTCGCCGCCGACGTTCCCATCTCCCACTCTATATCATTTTCTGAAATCAACGTCTAGCTGATGCTGTGTCTCGCGTTATGAGTATGGTGACCTTTCCATTCTAACTCCCCTTATCAATCTTATCAGCTGATATCACTCCATGTCACCCACCAATCATGTTCCTGTCCCATACCCTATATCATACCTTGGAACTAACGTCCTGCTATTGTTGTGACCCGCGCTATGGATTCGGCGACCATCTCCTTCTGACGCCTTTTATCGGATCTTATCAGCTGATATCACTTCCTGTCACCTATCGATAATGTTCTTGTCCCAACCCCTATATCATGTTTTGGAACCAATGTCTCACTGCTACTGGACGGGCGCTATGAATTTCGTGACACACAGACAGACGCACACACAAACACACACTGACAGACATACTTAGCAAATTATAGTAGGATCGAGATACTCACACATAGCTAACATATTGTGAACATTTGACCAGCTTGATCATGCTGTGAATGTTGGCAAGTCCGAGAATTACCATAAGCGCGGTTCCCATCTGAAAGTCTTAGACAGTTAAGCTCATTCGAGACAGAAAATAATGGTTAATACGAAAATAATACGAAACGCTATAGTAGTATGGCAGCTAGCCTCTACATGGACGTTGTAACTGGAAGATAGGCTGCATTTACTTTGCGGCAGCGTAGCGTAGCGCTTCCAGCGTTTCACGAGCGTTTCACTAGCGTTTCGCTAGCGTTTGCCAGCGGCGGGGCTAGAGAGTATAGAAGAGTAGGAGAGTATTTTGTACTCTCCTACTCTTCTATACTCTCTAGCCCCGCTAGCTTTGCCAGCGGCGGGCTAGAGAGTATAGAAGAGTAGGAGAGTATTTTGTACTCTCTACTCTTCTATACTCTCTAGCCCCGCCGCTGCAAACGCTAGCGAAACGCTAG